GTTTCCTCAATTATGTTATGCATGTACGAGAACTACATTATTACTGAATGAATAAAGTCTATTTACTGTTAGCCAGCTGGAACTATAGCAGTCCCTCAAGTAGTAGCATCATTTTTAATTTTGGCAAAAAATGTATCGTTTGATGAATAATTATAATATAATAATATCACAACATGTTAGTCATGATGAAGAATCTTCTGGTTACACGTCCTAAATAGTAACTCCCTCAAAAACAGTGGGTTCTATGCGACATTCTCGATGAAATTCAGAGGATTTGGAACAAATTTCCAAGAGTTCATATGTCATTAACAACCTATTCGATAATATTGAGAGTTTTTATTTTTCAGGTTAATTCTAAACGAGGATTCCGTACGATTTAAAGATCGCAACGTACCCACAGGAAATGATTCAGACTTCATACTATCAATTGAAGATTCAGAAACAAGCGAATCCGATGTCGAAGAACTTGTAAGAGTGAAACAATTCTCCAAAGATATATCTGGAAGGTTTCAAATTCAAACTTCGTTTCCTCTACCTGAGTTATTTGTTTGCGAATTGTGTCCGAGATATTTCACGAATATCCTTCCCTATACTCTACATATGAAGCAGCATGCCGAATCGGAATCGTCAAAATGCTTCATCTGTAAATCATCAATCGGTGGTTCGGCAGATGACATAGAATTGCACATGAGAGCACATCAAGATGTGAATCGATTGCACATCAATGTGATACGTTTCGATCAAGTTCAGAGTGATAGAAATAGTAGAGAGTCACTAATTCGCAGTTGTTCTTCATGCAAGAAATGTTTCTTTAATTTCAGTACATTGTGTGAGCACAATGTCACATGTCATGGCGCCCAAACCAGTATTTGCAACGTATGCTATGAAAGTGTTCCTACCGCCATGTTGAAGTTTCATGAAGAAAGACATGATCAAACGTGCGGTATTTGCTCGAAATCCTTCAAGTGGCATCACAATTTCATATTGCACTTGAAAAAACACCCTGTGGAAAAACCGTTTCGGTGCAAATTCTGTCCCGAAACTTTCGCTGGATTCGTAACCAGGAATGCCCACCAAAGAAATCATTCAAGTGGATCAGTGATGTGCTACATATGTGGGAAATCATTCTCAAATAAAGACAAGCTCAAGATGCACACATTCACCCATTCGGCAGAAAAGCCCCTCAAGTGTGGCATTTGCAGCAAAGGCTTCATAAGAAAGCGACAATTGCAAGAGCATGAGATAACTCATACTGGTAGGAAGCCTTTTAACTGCGACAGTTGTGAGAAGGGATTCTGGAGGAAGTTTCATCTGAAAGAGCATGTGAGAACTCATACTGGCGAGAAGCCTTTCAAGTGTGGCATTTGCACGAAAGGCTTCATAAAGAAGCAACATTTACAACAGCACGAGATAACTCATACTGGTGAGAAGCGTTTCAATTGTGACACTTGCAAGAAAGGATTCGGTAGGAAGGATCAGCTGAAAGAGCATGACAGAACTCATACTGGCGAGAAGCCCTTCAAGTGTGGCGTTTGCAGGAAAGGCTTCATAAGGAAGCAACATTTACAACAGCATGAGATAACTCATACTGGTGAGAAGCATTTCAAGTGTGTCACTTGCATGAAAGAGTTCTGTAGGAAGGATAAACTGCAAGAGCATGAGAAAACTCATACTGGCGAGAAGCCTTTCAAGTGTGAAACTTGTAAGAAGAGATTCAGGCGGAAGGATCAGCTGAGAGAGCATGAGACAACTCATACTGGCGATGAGCCCTTCAAGTGTGGCATTTGCAGGAAAGGCTTCTTAAGAAAGAAACATTTACAAAAGCACGAGATAACTCATAAGGTGTGACACTTGCAAGAAGAATTCTGGAGGAAGGATCGTCTGCGAGAGCATGAGAGAACTAAGATAAGGCATTCAGGAAGAAGGATCAGCTGACAGGACATAAAATCACTAATACCGGTGCCACTTTGGAAGTCCGCAATCGATGAATGAATGTGATGTAATAATTGTAAATAAATTAATAATAATATTTCCAAAATGATTGCTTGCAATATACCGCAATAGAAATCGCCGCTGCCAGGCATTACCTAGATATTTCTGTCCTAAGTAGATTCGCACGTTAATTACTTTGCAATATTACAGGAACTAAATGGGCGTGTACACCTCAGCAGAACTTTTAACTCAAACCATGTTCATAATGATCCTTTTATACATAAATAATGATTGACGACATAATTCGATCGAAAAATTAACTGGAATGTTTTATTTTTGGACATAAATAATAGTACCTTCTGAAAACGGACCCTCTTATGACGTAGAAACCTCATCTCGCCATAGTTAAAAGAAAATACCAAACGCCCGACGGAGACTGAGGCAACTGATATATTAATCCTTTTCAACTGTGATCTCGCGCTAATTCACTCTGTCAGAAATCATGTATCATTCATCTCTGTCTGGTATATAGTCTTGTTTCAGTATTAGGGTTTTGACGTCACATCATCGCCTCGTTTTCAGAGGTCCGAAAAATCGGGGATTTCAATAATTTTTTATAAAACGTAGGGAGCTCACAGCAAGAAACGGTTTGCGGTGGTGAGCTAGTTTGTGTGAGTGAGAATATTTTTTTTGTGATACAAGCCCATTCTTTGAATTCAGCTGACCTTAACGGGACGATACTGTACTGGATGTTTCAATTTGGAAAAGTTGATACCAATGAAGAGAAGTGTTGTATTTCGTGCAACATAATTTATTCAAATTTATTACTCGTAGCAGAGCGCTTTCGATTGTTGAGTCATCATTAGTGCATACCTGTAAGTAAGTAATCTGCTTCTAGCTATTGGAAAATATTGAAAGATTCGAAAAAATTATTTGAAAGTTTATTTTCACTCATCAAGTTCACTTCAACACGACATTTCGCAGCGACAATGGCTGCTTAAGAAAATGTAATCTGTATTTTACCCCCTTTTGAGAAACAAATTTTAATCTGTTTGTACCGTATTTTACCATAATGTCGATATTTTCAAACTGGACCAAAGATGTTTTTATGGCAAAGGACCCCGCACGAAAACAGGGTAAATTGGCTCTCGGTCGAATTGGCTGAAATTTAACAATGTTATTGTGGGATGGCTCATTAAAAAAATATGTGAGTTTGAAAAGTTCTGTATGTTTAGTTTCTGAGATATAAGCCTACAAAGTTCGTAAAAACGTCGTATCGGGGTAGGATTGACGGAGAAAAAAACTGTTTTTTTAGTATAAATAAGACAAAATAAGCTAGAAAATGTATTGATCGGAACTCAAATACATGTCTAGTTAAACAGAGATAGTTATCAAGAATCAAAATACGTTTTCGAAGCCTACAATAGACTGAAACTATAATATCCCACCCAAATATAACTTGTTGGTTTTGGAATAGTGCTCGAATATTCTTTCCGAAAAATGAATTTTTTGACCGTGCCTCGTATACACCCTGATTTACTATAATTCATGTGATTATAACTAGACATGTTTATGAGTTCCGATCGATACATTTTCTAGCTTATTTTTTTCCATTTATACTAAAAAAACAGTTTTTTTCTTTGTCAATCCTACCCCGATACGACGTTTTTACGAACTTTGTCGGCTTATATCTCAGAAACTAAACATACAAAACTTTTTAAACTCACATATATTTCTAATGAGCCTTCCCACAACAACATAGTCAAATTTCAGCCAATTCAAGTTTATCCTTGATGATTCCAGGAAAAGTTTTGCTTCGGATCTAGGTATCAACCAACCTAGTTCGAAAGATGGGCATGTGGGATCGTCAAATTTAGTCTCATCTACTGAGTCAAAACCTAGGAGGAGAGGAAGGCCCAAAAAAAAGCCTTTTAAAGATGAACTAGAACTCTTGGTGAATAGGCCAGCACATCATGAATCAGGCAGGCCGAAACGCACCTGTGTTGGTCAATCTACTCAGCATGAAATCGCCGGCCAGCACTCTGAAGATTCACAAGAATCGAGGTCCTATAGTTGTCGAGGCTCTTGTTAGCATGAACCTGGGGCAACTATATATTTGGAACTTCAATTTTTTCTTTCAACTTCATGAAATGTACTTATACATTAGTGTAACAATTTATTTTCCTCATCAATACATTAATTCGACCGAGAGCCAATTTCCCGTGTTTTCATGCAGGGTCCTTTCCTTGTTAACCTGACCAGTAAGTAATCTCACTTTTATTAATTTCCAAATTCGTATTCAACTATTTCCGATCTCATGATAATGTCTTTTTCCAAAATGATGTTGGATAACCATATACAAACTTGTTCTGGAGCTTCTCCAGAGGAGATTCATAATATTATAGCTATTTACTTTTAGATAGCTATAGCTATAGCAGTTGCCCTTCTGGGACTTGACTTTTGATTTCACAAGTGCGCGTTCTTAGGGCGCGGGGCCCTGCATTTTGAATGAAAACCCGTTTATTCCTCTAAAAACCTATTTATTATTATCATTCATGATATTATGATGAGAGACATCGGCAACTTTTTAAAAACAATTAATGTTCACCTCCATGTAAGTCAATTTTTGGTTTTATAACAATTTGTGAATTTTCACATGCCTTTGCTTGTAGTAATTTCTAAAATACAGCTGAAGATGGACTTTTGTAACTCCAAAACATGTCTCGTTGAATGACTTCATCATTATCAAAGTTATGGAGATGCCTTTTAAAAATTCCACTTCACTTTGAGCAAACATGAACTTCTACCAGAGCTTATAGCAGTTCGTCAAGTAGTAACATAATTTTTAATTTAGTCAAAAAATGTATCATTCGATGAATAGTTATGATATAATATTAATACATGTTAGTCATGAAGGAGAATCATTTAGTTACACGTCCTAACTAATAACTCTTTAAAAAACCTATGTGACCAAATTCCTCGATGAAATTCAGAAGATTTGGAAAAAATTTCCAAGAGTTGGTATTTCATTTACCTATTCGATTTTATTAAAAGTTTTCATTTTTCAGGTTATTACTGGACGAGGATTCAGTACACTTCAAAGATTTTTACGTACCCTCAGGAAACGATTCAGACTCCAGACTATCTATTGAAGATTCAGGAAAAACCGAGTCCAATGAAGAAGAACTTGTAAGAGTGAAAGAATACTGCAGAGATACATCTGGAATGTTTCAACTTCAAACTTCGTTTCCTATTCCTGAGTCATTTGTTTGCGGATTGTGTCCGAGATATTTTTCGAATATTTCTTCCTATACTCTACATATGAAGCAGCATACCCAATTAGAATCGTCAAAATGCTTCATCTGCAAATCATCAATCAGTGGTTTGGCAGATGATATAGAATTGCACATGAGAGCACATCAAGATGTGAATCGATTGCACATCAATGTGATTCGTTTCGATCAAGTTCGGAATGGTAAAAATAGTGAGGAGGTACTTAGTAGCAGTTGTTCTGTATGCAAGAAACATTTCAAAAATTTCAGTACCTTGTGTGTGCACAATGTCACATTCCATGGCGCCCAAACCAGTATTTGCAACGTATGCCATGAAAGCGTCCCTACCGCCATTTTGAAGTTCCATGAAGACAGTCATTATCAAACATGCAGTATTTGTTCTAGATCCTTCAAGTGGCATCACCATTTGAAATTACACTTGAAAGAACACAGTGTGGAGAAATCGTTCCGGTGCAAGTTTTGTCCCGAAACTTTTTGCGGAACCATAGCCAGAAATGCCCACCAGAGAAATCATCCATGTGGATCAGTGATGTGCTACTTGTGCGGAAAATCATTCTCAAATAAAACCAAGCTCAAGATGCACACATTCGTCCATTCGGGGGAGAAGCCTCTCAAGTGTGGCATTTGCAGCAAAGGCTTCATAACCATGCAACGATTGAAAGAGCACGAGATAACCCATACTGGTAAGAAGCCGTTCGAGTGTGATACTTGCGAGAAGGGATTCTGGAGGAAGGATCATCTACATGATCATGAGAGAATTCATACTAGAGAGAAGCCTTTCAAGTGTGGGATTTGTAGCAGAGGCTTCATAAGGAAGCAACAATTGGAGTTGCATGAGATGATTCATACCGGTAAAAAACCTTTCAAGTGTGGCATTTGCAGCAAAGGCTTCATAATCATGCAACGATTGAAAGAGCACGAGATAACCCATACTGGTGAGAAGCCTTTCCAGTGTGATACTTGCAATAAGGGATTCTGGAGGAAGGGTCATCTGCAAGGGCATGAGAGAACTCATACTGACGAGAAGCCTTTCAAATGCGACAGTTGTGAGAAGATATTTCGGAAAGAGGCGCAGCTGAAAGTGCATGAAAGTACTCATACTGGCGAGAAACCTTACCAGTGTGACACTTGCAGGAAGGGATTCTGGAGGAAGTTTCAGCTGAAAGAGCATCTGAGAACCCATACTGGCGAGAAGCCTTTCAAGTGTGGCATTTGCAAGAAAGGCTTCATGAGGAAGCAACATTTGAAAAAGCATGAGATAACTCATACTAGTGAGAAGCATTTCAAGTGTGACACTTGCATGAAAGAGTTCTGGAGGAAGGATACACTGCAAGATCATGAGAAAACTCATACTGGCGAGAAACCTCTCAAGTGTGACACTTGTGAGAAGAGATTCAGGACGAAGTTTCAGCTGAAAGTGCATAAGATAACTCATACTGGCGAGAAGCCTTACAAGTGTGATACTTGTGAGCAGGGATTCACGAAAAAGGTTACGCTGACACGGCATGAAAAAACGCATACTTGATTTCTCCTTATATAGCAACCCAAGATAGTACTTGCTTGGATAGTTGGCAAGTCTATTCTCAGTACTCACTTTATTACCTAACCACGTTTATTCCGAGAAAAAAAAGAATCATTTTCCAAAAGCAACAAAAAATCTATTGATTCACGAAAACATTAAAATGTATCGAAAAGGTGGAACAGCAAAAAACAAATAGAAAACGTGTTAACAGAAACATGAGAATGGACAAAGTCGAACAGATTTCACACAACCAAAGTGGCATAGTGCCACTTTGAAAGTCCAAAATCGAGGTATTGCTTACCTAGATCTTTTCGCACGTTAATCTCTTTGCCTCCACTTTGCAAATCAGGGTTCGTAATTATCAAGATAATTTTTTTTTTTATAATTATCAGATAATCATCGGATAATTATCGGATAATTATCGGATAATTATCTGATAATTATCCATACTGACAGATAACTTATTTTCGTTATATTATTACTTACAAATTATTTTTTCAGTTCAAATATGTTGTGTATAAAAATTAGAAAGGCATTTATATCAACTTTTTTATTATTTGAAACTACAAAAATGAAAATAAATGAATAAAACTAAATATGAAATAAAAAAATAAATAAATTCAAAATTTCTTGTGATTGCAAGCTTGGTTTGAATTATGTTTGGTTTACTGGAATCTGTCGCTGGTGACTGTTGTGGTTGTGATGAAGTTGCAGGCGTAGACGAATTATTCACATGTTGTAAGTCAGTAGATAATGCCGCTGTTGGTGTATCTGTCGATGGACTACAAATACTTGAATGTTTTTTAAGTCTATTAAGGATGCCTTGCATTTCCTTTTTGCACTTCCGGCACCTTGCCCACATACCACTGTTTTTTTTTTTAATACACACATATTGGCTCCACACGGAATCTGTAATTTTCGGCATTTTTGTATATTATTTATAAATTTTAATTTAACATACGAACGAACACGTTTGTTTTCAGTTTTTTTGACACAAATTTTGAGGTTATTTTTGTTCGGTTTGTTCGGTCGGATACGAAGGTGCGTTCCGAACCTACACTCATGTGCACTGAAGTGCGGAAGGGATAATTATCTTGATAATTATCACTCCAAACCGTGTTGCAAATTCACAGGAACTAAAGTCTATGAATCCAGCTGACCTGAACGAAACAATACTGTACTGGATGTTTTAATTTGGAAAAGTTAATTTATGGATGAAGATCTTGAGATGTACGCTAGTTTGAGTGATGTCATCCCATAGGAATTTGCCAACATGAAGAAATGTTCTGGTGCAGAACCATTAGACTGGTGTTTCTAAAAGACACGGGGCAGAAGAGGTACAATCTCAGCAAACACAACTCTTTCCGCGCTTCTCGCGCAAAAAACAGCTGAAGGATCACGAGAGAGTATACACTGAGAAAGAACCCAATATTGCGGTCTTTAGGCAGAGATCCCCATTGAGGTTCCCCGAGTGGACCCGTACATTTGCAAGATATGCCTCAGAGTGTTCCTTTCCATTGGGGTGATTGATAACCATATGAGGACTTCTTCAGGAGCTTCTCCGGAATAGGATTCCTAATATCAAAACTATATTTTTATAGATGCTACTATAGCAAGCCGTGAATTGATTCTCACCGTTTTTGTGTGATCGGTTTTTGTATTAGTCAACTAGTAACATGAGATTTAATTTAGGCAAAATAATGTATAATTGAATAAACAACTACAATCTAATATTATAACAAGTTGTTCTTGAACAGGAATCATTAGGTGAAATCTACGAACTAGTAAATTCCTCAGAAAAGTCGTATAGTTCATAAACAAGTCGTACAGCAATTAAAGGCTATTGTGAGTCGGGCTTGTCAATCTTTTTATCGACTTTGACAAGTAGTGTCAAAATCCGAACCATATTTGTCAGTAACGCGCCAATGTGTACGTGTACTACTTTTTAATGAAATCTGGAACATCATAAAAACCTTGTACGAATTGTTTTTTTTTTAATTGACTCGACCGTTACTCGATGGAAATCCATGGCAAATGTAAAAACTCTACAAACGATAAGATTTTCACAAAATTTTCAGACACACGACATGTTTCGCTAACACAGAAGCTTCTTCAGGTGATATACTGGTACGATTTGTTTATGCACACATTTGCAAATTTCATATGAAACAAATATAAAAAAGTTGGTATGTCATTAACAACCTATTCAATATTATTGAAAGCTTGCATTTTCTAGGTTGATACTTGACGAAGATTCAGTACACTTTAAAGACTTCAACGAACCCTCAGGAAACAATTCAGACTTCAACGAACCGTCAGGAAACGATTCAGACTCCAGACTATCTATGGAAAATTCAGGAACGAGCGAGCCCAATGGAAAAGAACTTGAAGATGTGAAACAATACTCCAGAGATACATCTAGATTTTTTCGAATCCGAACTTCGTTTTCTATACCTAAGTCATTTGTTTGCGAAATTTGTCCAAGGTATTTCACGAATATCACTTCCTATACCCTACATATGAAGCAGCATACACAATTGGAATCTCTGAAATGCTTCATCTGCAAATCATCCATCAGTGGTTCAGCAGACGATATAGAATTGCACATGAGAGCACATCAGGATGTGAATCGATTGCACATCAATGTGATTCGTTTCGATCAAGTTCGGAATGGTAGAAATAGTAAGGAGGTACTAAGTCGCAGTTGTTCTCTATGCAAGAAACATTTCAAAAATTTCAGTACCTTGTGTGTGCACAATGTCACATTTCATGGCGCCCAAACCAGTATTTGCAACGTATGCCATGAAAGCGTCCCTACCGCCATTTTGAAGTTCCATGAAGACAGTCATTATCAAACATGCGGTATTTGTTCTAGATCCTTCAAGTGGCATCACCATTTGAAATTACACTTGAAAGAACACAGTGTGGAGAAATCGTTCCGGTGCAAGTTTTGTCCCGAAACTTTTTGCGGAACCATAGCCAGAAATGCCCACCAGAGAAATCATCCAGGTGGATCAGTGATGTGCTACTTGTGCGGAAAATCATTCTCAAATAAAACCAAGCTCAAGATGCACACATTCGTCCATTCGGGGGAGAAGCCTTTCAAGTGTAGCATTTGCAGGAAAGGCTTCATAAGGAAGCAACATTTACAACAGCATGAGATAACCCATACTGGTAAGAAGCCGTTCGAGTGTGATACTTGCGAGAAGGGATTCTGGAGGAAGGATCATCTACATGATCATGAGAGAACTCATACTGGAGAGAAGCCTTTCAAGTGTGGGATTTGTAGCAGAGGCTTCATAAGGAAGCGACAATTGGAGTTGCATGAGATAATTCATACCGGTAAAAAACCTTTCAAGTGTGACACTTGTAAGAAAGAATTCTGGAGGAAGCATCATCTGCAAGAACATGAGAAAACTCATACTGGTAGGATGCCTTTTAACTGTGACACTTGTGAGAAGGGATTCTGGAGGAAGTTTCATCTGAAAGAGCATGTGAAAACTCATACTGGCGAGAAGCCTTTCAAGTGTGGCATTTGCAGGAAAGGCTTCTTAAGGAAGCAAAATTTACAACTGCACGAGGGAACTCATTCTGGTGAGAAGCGTTTCAAGTGTGACACTTGCAAGAAAGGATTCAGGACGAAGGATCAGCTGAAAAAGCATGAGAGAACTCATACTGGCGAGAAGCCCTTCAAGTGTGGCATTTGCAGGAAAGGCTTCTTAAGGAAGCAACATTTGAAAAAGCATGAGATAACTCATACTGGTGAGAAGCATTTCAAGTGTGACACTTGCATGAAAGAGTTCTGGAGTAAGGATAAACTGCAAAAGCATGAGAAAACTCATACTGGCGGGAAACATTCCAAGTGTGACACTGGTGAGAAGAGATTCAGTGAAAAGGTTACGCTGACTGGGCATGAAAAAACGCATACTTGATTCCTCCTTGTATAGCAACCCAAGATAGTACTCGCTTGGATAGTTGGCAAGTCTATTCTCAGTACTCACTTTATTACCCAACCACGTTCATTCCGAGAAAAAAAAAGAATCATTCTTCAAAAGCAACAAAAAATCTATTGATTCACGAAAACTTTAAAATGTATCGAAAAGGTGGAACAGCAAAGAAACAAATAGAAAACGTGTTAACAGAAACATGAGGATGGCTTTTTGGTACTCATATCATGTATGGGGCAGCAATACCAAAGTCGAGCAGATTTCACACAACCAAAGTGGCATAGTGCCACTTTGGAAGTCCACAATCGAGGTATTGCTTACCTAGGTCGTTTCGCACGGTAATCACTTTGCAAATTCACAGGAACTAAAGTCTGTGAATCCAGCTGACCTGAACGAAACAATACTGTACTGGATGTTTTAATTTAGAAAAGTTAATTCATGGATGAAGATCTTGAGATGTACGCTAGTTTGAGTGATGTCATTCCATAGGAATTTGCCAACATGAAGAAATGTTCTGGTGCAGAACCATTAGACTGGTGTTTTTAAAAGACACGGGGCAGAAGAGGTACAATCTCAGCAAACACAACTCTTTCCGCGCTTTTCGCGCAAAAAACTGCCGAAGGATCACGAGAGAGTATGCACTGAGAAAGAACCCAATATTGCCCGAGTGGACCCGTACATTTGCAAGATATGCCTCAGAGTGTTCCTTTTCATTGGGGTGATTGATAACCATATGAAGACTTGTTCAGGAGCTTCTCCGGAATAGGATTCCTAATATCAAAACTATATATTTTTATAGATGCCACTATAGCAAGCCGTGAATTGATTCTCACCATTTTCGTGTGATCGATTTTTGTATTAGTCAAGTAGTAACATGATATTTAAATCAGGCAAAATAATGTATAATTGAATAAACAATTACAATCTAATAATATTACAAGTTGTTCTTGAACAGGAATCATTAGGTGAAATCTCCGAACTAGTAAATTCCTCAGAAGAGTCGTATCGTTCATAAACAAATCGTACAGTGTTGTGAGTCGGGCTTGTCAATCTTTTTATCGACTTTGACAAGTAGTGTCAAAATTCGAACCATATTCCTCAGTAACGCGCCAATGTGTACGTGTACTACTTTTTAATGAAATCTGGAACATCATAAAATCCTTGTACTATTTGTTTTTTTTCTAATTGACTTGGTCGTTACTCGATGGAAATCCATGGCAAATATAAAAAATCTACAAATGATAAGATTTCCACAAAATTCTCAGACACACGACATGCTTCGCTAACACAGAAGCTTCGTCAGGTGATATACTGGTACGATTTGTTTATGCACACAACTGCACATTTCATATGAAACAAATATCAAAGAGTTGGTATGTCATTAACAACCTATTCGATATTATTGAAAGCTTGCATTTTCCAGGTTGATACTTGACGAAGATTCAGTACACTTTAAAGACTTCAACGAACCCTCAGGAAACAATTCAGACTTCAACGAACCGTCAGGAAACGATTCAGACTTCAGACTATCTATGGAAAATTCAGAAACAAGCGAGCCGGATGGAAAAGAATTTGAGGATGTGAAACAATACTCTAGAGATACATCTAGATATTTTCGAATCCGAACTTCGTTTTCTATACCTAAGTCATTTGTTTGCGAAATTTGTCCAAGAAATTTCACGAATATTCCTTCCTATACTCTACATATGAAGCAGCATACACAATTGGAATCTTTGAAATGCTTCATCTGCAAATCATCCATCAGTGGTTCAGCAGACGATATAGAATTGCACATGAGAGCACATCAGGATGTGAATCGATTGCACATCAATGTGATTCGTTTCGATCAAGTTCGGAATGGTAGAAATAGTAAGGAGGTACTAAGTCGCAGTTGTTCTCTATGCAAGAAACATTTCAAAAATTTCAGTACCTTGTGTGTGCACAATGTCACATTTCATGGCGCCCAAACCAGTATTTGCAACGTATGCCATAAAAGGGTTCCTACCGCCTCTTTGAAGTTCCATGAAGACAGACATTATCAAACATGCGGTATTTGTTCTAGATCCTTCAAGTGGCATCACCATTTGAAATTACACTTGAAAGAACACAGTGTAGAGAAATCGTTCCGGTGCAAGTTTTGTCCCGAAACTTTTGCTGGTACCATAGCCAGAAATGCTCATCAGAAAAACCATTCACGTGGATCATTGATGTGCATCATGTGCGGAAAATCATTCGCAAATGAAGCCAAGCTCAAGACACACACATTCATCCATTCGGGGGAGAAGCCTCTCAAGTGTGGCATTTGCAGCAAAGGCTTCATAATCATGCAACGATTGAAAGAGCACGAGATAACCCATACTGGTGAGAAACCTTTTCAGTGTGATATTTGCAATAGGGGATTCTGGAGGAAGGATCATCTGCAAGGGCATGAGAGAACTCATACTGGCGAGAAGCCTTTCAAATGCGACACTTGTGAGAAGATATTTCGGAAGAAGGCGCAGCTGAAAGTGCATGAAAGTACTCATTCTGGCGAGAAACCTTACCAGTGTGACACTTGCATGAAGGGATTCTGGAGGAAGGATCAGCTGAAAGAGCATCTGAGAACCCATACTGGCGAGAAGCCTTACCAATGTCGATATTGCGATAGTGCGTTTGCCCAAATAACTCCTAGGCAAGTGCACGAACGCACTCACACTGGGGAGAGACCTTACTCTTGTACTTTCTGCGGAAGAAAATTCATTTCTAACGGAAATTTGAAAAATCACATGAACAGATGTTCTGAAAAGTGATATGTTTCTCGAAAACGATATTCTCATACTTACCTTCCCAACTTCAATTTCGGAATCGGTAAGCTATATTTCGGAGAAGGTAAACTCGATTTCAGAATTGGTTAGATCGATTTCAGGCATAGTAAACTAAGTTTCAGAATTGGTAAGTTGAATTTCAGAAAAAAACCATTCAATTCCAGAAATGGTAAGTTGTCTTGCAGAAAATGATTCCTTATATTTGTTTGCCATATTTTTAGTTGCATGTCGAAAGAACAAACATCTTCAGAATATTTAATTTTTCAAAAACCATTAAAGAACATACATTTATATTCAACTCAATCTTTAATTAATCCATAGACATATCTTCCATTCGTATCGCAGAAGAATAGTGGCGTCGCACATGATTTAAAAGAATTCAAACACTTTTGAGGTATATGTTCTCATTGGATGACTTGAACATTCTTCATGGCATCACAGTCTAAATTCTATGTGGTTAAGCAATCTGTTTGGATCCCCTGCTATGAACCCTTGGTGATGCTCTTGCAAGAAGCTTTTCACTTCTGACTTGAAGGTATTCCATAATATGTTCAATTATTGGGGGATGTAAGGTGCCAATCTACAAATAAGAAAATCTTGAAATTCTTCCTTCATGCAAATCTCCTCTATATATTCTTGAATGGGCAGGTGCATTATCCAGAACCACCACCATGGTATCTGTAGGATATGCCCATTTCAAATGCACGTTCATCTTCCTATGAACTAAGATTCATACAGTGACTTATTCAATCCACGATAGTGAATGTGTATCAGGATTGTTCATTTCAAGTTGAACTTTTTTTTCTGAAATTGAACTAACCTATTCCGAAATATAACTTACCATTTCTGAAATTGTATGGACATTTTCTGAAATTCAACTAACCGATTCTGGAATTGAAGTTGAAAAGGAGTTTCAAGGATGGCTTGTTCTGTCCTTGGGAATTACAGGTTCTTGTTATTGTAATCTAGGGGATCAAACAAATTATATTTATTTACGAACTAGAGCGATTGTCAAATATATGATATATATGCAAGGTTCTTGGTCTTAATTGAATATCCCAGCAATCCCAAACTGAAAACGAATGGAAAATCAGAGGAATAATGCTTATCCTTATGGGTGGAAAACATGAACAATCAATTAATTTCCATTATCTACAGGGTGTTCCAAAAAAACCTAACCCCCTTGCTAGGGTAGGTAGAACATTGCAAAATAAGTTGGGTTTGCTCAGTGAAAAAATGTCGTAACAGTATTCGTTTTCATGATACAAGGTGTTGAAAAAATTATGTTTTATCAAATTTTTCACGATTATTCCGAAACTACTGGCAACATTTCAATGAAATTTTGTATGGATGTTTCTTGAAATCTGACACATCGCATATATGAAACAGTTTGCAGACAGATACCACCAGAAGAACTGAAGAATGTTGAATATAACATACGAAAGGGATATGAAAAGTGTGTATAGAATGAAGGAGATTTGATCAAGAGTACAAAAATCTGAACTTGTTAGGAACAATAAAATTTCTGTTTTGTTGTCCAATTTTTTATGTTTTCTCTTTTATAGATATTGTTACGATTTTACTCTGGGTCCGTAATAATTTAACACTCGGTAGAACACTTAAAACGATTTATTCTGTACACTACTATACAATAATAACAATACTCGTACTAAACACTTCCGATTCACAACACTTCTTCGATCGTTATTATAACGCTTCCAAATAAAGACTTCCCTTCCTGTCCCTAACAACAACTATTTATACTACCTAATAAAACGTCTAGATTCCACTCGAAATATCGTGAACAGGTCGATAATCTTCTCGAGTCATCTCAATAGCCGTCGATTTCTATTCCAAGAAATATGGTTTATTTACTTCCGTAGCAGGTAGCTGGGATTGATCGCCAGGGTCGTAACAATATCATGTAGTTTCTATTCATTTCTTGATAAAAAATCTGAATTTTTAGTGATTTCATCAGTTAGGAATAATTGCTGTTTTGTTGTATGTTATTTTTTTGATAGATATCATGTAGTTTATATTTATTTCTTGATAAAAAATCTGAATTTTTAGTGATTTCATCAGTTATTTATCTCACTCTGTAGCCAGATGATCTGATCCTGAGTGCCATCATGCCTGATATTCATATTCTAAGCATCATTATACACGGTGACTTGAAAACTGCAATTATTCAAAAATTGTAACGTTGATATAGGAGTATTTGTGACTAGTCCGAATCGATTGCCTATACCAACTTTTCTGTTTTCTCCAAACTTGCTGAAGTTTTTGTGAAGTAGGCTAAAAAATTGTGATTGATAATTTTGTCTTGGTCTTGCTCGACAATGTAGATAATTTTTACTAAAATATTATGAGAAAAAAATATTTCCAAATGGCCCTAGGAATACGAAAATACAGGGGTGGGGTAGACCAAATTGTAACACAGTGTAATATCTATTTGTTTTATATTTCGTTTAATATATTCATACATAAACAAAGGTGTTTTTTATGTAATTTGCGATGTGATGAATGAATTTGTTTCAGGTTAGTACCAGAAATCGATCCAATTCGAGTTATAGAATTATATTCTTCAGATTCAAATCATAACTCAGAAGACAATTCTTCAGATTCCAACGATATCCCAGAAGACAATCCCAAAGATTCAGATTTTGCTTTATCCACGGAAGACATTGATACAGAATCAGACGCTTCTGATGGAAACAACATTATTGACCAATCTATACAAGTAGGAGAAGAATCAAGAAAAACATCTAGAAGGCTTCAAACTCGAAAAACAAAAGCATCTGCGCTACCCATACCAAATCCACTTGTATGCAAAATTTGCATAGAAAATTTCACGAATATAGCTCCTTATGCTTTGCATATGAGACAACATGCTCAGGAAGAATCCTTGAAATGTTTCATCTGCAAATCTCCCCTAGGTGGAACAGCAGACGATATCGAGTTCCACATCAGAGCCCACCAAGATGTGAGTCGTGTATTCATTGACGTTACTCGTATAGATCACAATGAAAACAGAAAGTCCAGTATCGTTCCTCTGAGACACAGATGTCCATCCTGCGGGAAGAGTTTCATACTGATCGGCAGACTGTACAGGCATGAAGTTAGATACCATAACGCACCGACAAGCTGTTGCTACGTATGCAATTCAATCATCCCCACTGCTCTGATGAAGATCCACCTTGCCAAGCACGACGACGACAACAAGTGCAAGTTTTGTAGCAGGAGATTCGAGAGCCTCGAGCACTTGCAACTGCACAAGAATGTTCATGAATACGACAGACCATACAAGTGCAAGTTTTGTACCAAAGCTTTCGCCCACAAAGTGTCTAAAATGACCCATGAGAGACAGCATTCAACTGAAGTGCCTCCGTCCCTTTGCGATATCTGTGGCAAGACTTTATCCAGCAAACAGAAGCTCAGACTGCACAAACGTACCCATTCGGGGGAGAAGCCCTACAAATGCGACATCTGTGCGAAATGCTTCGCTAGGAGGGAGCAGTTGATAGAACACCAGAGGACTCATACTGGGGAGAAGCCTCACAAGTGTCGATTTTGCGACAAAGCGTTCGCCCAAATGACCCCTAGGCGAGTGCACGAACGAATGCATACTGGGGAAAAACCTTACACTTGCGGGCTGTGTAGGAAGGGATACACTACCAAGGGGTCATTGGATAAACACGTGATGTACTGTTCTGGAGGCTCGTCGGATTCCTCAGAATATTCAGAATGAGAAACCAAGAATCTCAAGACTTAGTCCAGTCATTATATCCAAATAACGGACTTTACCCGTGAATAATTTTTTAGTGTTTTTTTTTTTCATAGGTGTCTCGGGGGGGTCACTGGGAGTATAAATTCAAAATGGCGACCAAATCAAGCTTTTGCGTATGTTCGAAAACTGTTTTTTTGTTAAAAAACGGTTTTTCTTGAATAATTCGGCCATTTTTGATTCTACAGAAAAAGTTTGGAAACAAAAATTGTAGTAAATGTGGTTTTCTACAAGTCTGGTCCCCACAATTTTTCTGATAGGATCGATATTTTGTAAATTAAACCTGAAAAAAGCGACAAATTCGAAATATTTTCATTATCTCGTTTATTTTCAACTTTACGGCATAAATGAACAGAAACAAACTTGTAGAGAATCAAATTCTGGACAAATTTTGTTTCCACTTGTTTTTCTGAAAATCGATATTTTCGGAATTAAACCTAAAAAAAACGACTCATTCGAAATATCATCATTATCTCGTTTATTCTCAACTTTACACCATACATGAGAAGAAACAAACTTGTAGAGAATCAAATTTTGGACAAATTTGGTAAAAAAAATAGTTCCGGAACCATATTTTCCCACCGACATGACAGACAAGCTACCTGCGCGGAATAACCTCTTCATTTGGGCCGTAAAATGCGAAGCATTGGAGATAATGATAATCTTTTGAATTTGTCGCTTTTTTCAAGTTTAATTCCCAAAATATCGATTTTTGGAACAAAAACGTGGTAACCAAAATTGTGTAGAATTTGATTCTCCACAAGTTTAGTTCTCTTCATTTATGCCGTAAAGTTGAAAATAAACGAGATAATGAAAATATTTCGAAATTGTCGCTTTTTTCAGGTTTAATTTACAAAATATCGATCCTATCAGAAAAATTGTGGGGACCAAACTTGTAGAGAACCAAATTAACTACAATTTTTGTCCCCAAACTTTTTCTGTAGAATCAAAAATGGCCGACTTATTCAAGAAAAACCGTTTTTCAACAAAAAAACCAGTTTTCGAACATACGCAAAAGCTTGATTTGGTCACCATTTTGAATTTACACTCCCAGTGACCTCCCCGAGACACCTATGAAAAAAAAACACTAAAAAATTATTCACGGGTCAAAGTCTATAATGATTGGACTAACTAGGAGATTTCGTAAATAGATCGTTGAACTAGGGAAATTGACAATCAATTCACGAAGGTAACTCCTATGAACGCTTCGAAGCGAGGCTAGAACTGGGGAGAAGGACTGTGTATAGCCTTTAGATCCATCTAGTGGCAAAGGTGCGAATGTGTATGAGTAGACTGTTCAAATAATCAGACAAGCCAGGGGAACTGGAACTTCAAACCAATTTGAGAATCGCAGGTGTGCAGATAGTCATCGAATGATACGAATCTCAAATGTGATGGTGGTTGCGCACAATTCACACTAGATGGTTCTAGAGTAGGATGCAAAAAATTGTTTTTTTTTTTGGGTAAATGGACATGAAAGATTATCGATAACAGATTTTCACAAATTTGATTATATTTCGAACAAAAATAAAGTGTTATGATATCAAGTTTTCAGTTATTCCTTTGTTCCATATTTGAAATCGACCAGGAACAGAAACAGTTTCACCAGGATTTCGTGTTGCTCCTTAATCTATGTAAAATAATATGTTATTTATATTGATGACATTGCTGCTATAACCTGAAATTAGATGATGCTGCTGCTCTTCGTCTCATTCATTCATTTCAAAAGGATATCTTGAGTTTTTCCATGAAAATCACTCATAACCTAGTTGGATTCAACGCTACCAAAACTCAAGCTTGTATTTTCTCTGGAAAGGTGGAACTGAGTATGCCTGATATAACAATACCTGGTACCACTATTTCCACCAAGACCTCCTCAGAATATTCAGAATGAGAAATCGAGAATCTGAAGACTAGGAGATTTCGTGAATAGATCGTCAGATGACGCCAAGCATCATCATTTGAAATAGTCAAACTGACAATCAATTCACGAAGGTAATTCCCATAAACGCTACAAAGCGAGGTTAGAGCTGGGGAGAAGGACTGTGTAGCCTTCAGATCCATCTAGTGGCAGAGGTGCGAATGTGTATGAGTAGATTGTTCAAATAACCAGCCGAGTCAGTGGAACTGGAACTTGAAACCACTTTGAAATATACAGATGTGCAGATAGTCATCGAATGATACGAATCTCAACATATCACGTGATGGAATCATTCGTAAGATGTAGGCTCTTTTAACTGATGGATGCAAATGTGATGGTGATGGCGCACAATTTACACTAGATGGCTCTGAAGTGCGATGCAAAAAATGTTTTTTTTTGTAAATGGGCATGCAAGATTATCGATAAATGATTAATAAAATGAAATAATAAGTCATTTATATTGATGACATTGCTGCTATAAAGTTTGATCATGCTGCTGCTCTTCGTCTCATTCGTCCATTTCAGAAGGATATCTTGAGTTTTTCTATAAAAATCACTTATAACCTAATTGAATTCAACGCCACCAAAACTCAATCTTGTATTTTCTCTAGAAAGGCGGAACTGAGTATGCCTGATATAACAATGTATGGTACCACCAAGACCACTATATCTATGCTCGGTATTACCATCTCATCGCAAAAGCTGCTTCACAAAAACTAGGATTCTTGTTCCGTACGAAAATCTACTATACAGCTTCTCATGATCTACACAGCACAAATACAGCCAGTTTTAGAATACTGTTCTCATGAGAGTTCAGCATCCAAACATACGCTGATGCTCTTAGATTCCATCCAGATAAGAGCCATTCGCATGGTGGGTGATGCCACACTCACTAACTCTTCAACTTTTCTTTAGATACTTCAACGGGAAACGTTCCTTAGAAATCTCAGCTATAACTCCATCACTAACAATACCAGTCAGCACATCCTTTCGTCGTTAACCTTGAAAAATATCGAACAATACCCTATCAAAACTCGTTCGTCTATAGAACGGCGAAGCTTTGACATTCTTTGCCTATGAAAGTATTCCCAAGAACTCATAACCTCTAAATGATAAAAAAACATCTACCTTCTCTCTCTATTCTACCTAGGGACGCACGGTGTTCCACGAACATTATAGGAATTTCCGTTCGTGCGCTGCAAGAGATAAAAAAAATCAATCATTCGACCTGATATTTTCATTTGGTCGATCCCCAGCATAATTTCTGTTCGTAGGGTACAATTTTATACAACTTATAATGAGAAAGAGTCAATAAATATGTATAACATAAAGAAATATTCGTGAATTTGGTTGGATTTGATATGCGTGCATCCTCTCTCAGTGCACATCCTTAATTTCGAAGTACTCCGAATAAATTGTTCCTGACTCTCATATTTTTTAGGTTCCTAGTGGTCAAAAAAGAGCCCACCGTCGAGGAATACGTCATCGAAATATTCCCAGCCCTTTCGGACCCTCTTGAAACCCAGCGAGTCGTCAACGAAATGATCTCGACACCAAAAACCGCCCCAAAACACAAACTCGCGTCCGGTGCACCCTTCTGCAACCGTTGCCAAACCTACTACGCCGACCCCATACTCCACGCCCTACACACCTTAAAGCACTCCAACGGCCTCTTCGACTGCCCCACATGCCCTCTGCTTGCCAAAATGACAGAAGAGCAAGTCGAAACGCACGTGAGGATTCACGAGGAGAATCCCAAGCACACCTGTCCCAAGTGCGGACTGAAGCTCTACAGCGACAGCACTGCTATAAAGCACGAAAAGTCCCACTTCGGCATGAGGAAGCCTCTGCCTTGTGGCTTGTGCGAAGCTACGTTCTTGTTCCCTTGCACCCTGAGTGCTCACGAGACGACCGAGCATGGTGACGTCATCGAGGAGTTCCGCAAGGAAACCAAAGCCAAGCAAGAGGAAGACATCAGGAAGAAGAGCGTGGTCAAAGAGCATTTGCCCTACGCCAACAAACCTCTAGGTCCCGTGCTGTGCCAGTACTGCAACGAGACCTTCCGTAGTAACATACAGTACGGTTACCACCTGACCAAGTTTCATTCCTTGGACGAGAAGTTCAAGTGTTTCTTGTGTAAGTCTCCGGTTAGGATGGATGAGGCTCGCATGGAGAATCATTTGCGGAGGCACGAGTTCGCGCAGACGTTCAAGTGTTCGGTGTGCGGTGAGGGTTTTTGCCAGAGGCAGGATGCGGAGGACCATGAGAGGTTTCATGAGGAGAAAGGCGTTGAGTGCAACTTATGCGATAGCGAGTTTTTGTTCTCCAGGTAATACAGGCCTTTTGTGCTCGAAAAGAGCTCCTAGAGCGAGGGTTGTCCACGAAATTCCATAACGCAACATCGAAATAAGTCCATGTTATGTCAGTGTTTTTGCTTATAACAACTATCAACTGTTAGTTGAAAACTTTTTATTGAAGATGAAAGTAAATACCATTTTTCCCGAACCGACACAAAAGTCGTCCATTTTAATACCAAAATTAGCTCTCGAATTGACGTTTCTATTATTGACACAAACATAGGTATGTTGCTAGGCAACACTTTTAGTTCTCAAAGTAGAACTCTTTAGCTCCTAGGAACTGAAGAGGATGTACTAGGTCATCAAGAATGAACATCATTGTAATGGTTGGTTATTTTTGTTGGGACGCATACCTGATTTGTTCCCGATTTCGGCAGATTTGGCATTTCATACACATGCTGGAGATATAAGTACACCATATTTCAGTTAAGTATATAGTTAAGGAAAGCCTTCAAGATTCACATACTTGCTTGATCTGTGTTTCATTCATTTTCGGGATCTGATTGAATAACTTGTTTTTGAATAATCACGAATTACGGCCAGCAATACTTTTTTGTCTCGCACAACGATATTGTTTATATTCATTTGATTAGCGATGCTCACTAACCTAACATTTTCCACTTCTTTTTCCTATACCTGGCACTGGCGCGGCATTTGCATTAGGGCAGACACCTGGTACAAATGAATTTATCGGTTCAATAGAATACACAAATGGGTCACAGTGTGGTTGTATTTATATTGAAACTTCGAACATCCTGGAGAATTGAATAAACCTGATCTGCAAATGCAGGTAGAATTTTCTCACCACACGGATAATTTGTTGCGTTGCTTACATATGGCACGGCATTCACGTTTCGGATATCGTACTGGATTCGTGCCTGTACTATCTGATAATGCATTTCAACTTAAATTGTAACAAAGAGTAAAGTCATCGTCCACCAATATTCAAATGTAAAGTAGTCTGAGGTCTTGCATGCTACTTACCTATATTATTATATCAAAGGTATTATAATTATCTGTCAAGTAAGTCACATTGGTGGTCACTTCACATATTTATTTCAGTTGATTCTTTCGGTTGCAGAAAAAATAGCATAATAGCAAGATTCGCAAGTCAAACAAAGTGTCACTTTTGATCCTAATATTTCTACATACTCCAATGATTGGCGATGAAGCCTTTGGGCTCAGGCTCTAGTAGAAAATGGGCGTATTTCGGCTGTCTCCACAAAAACCCTTTTTTTTCACTCCATAAGTCGATTTAATTATTGAAGGCCGGCATTCAGTGGAGAAAAGTTGATAGTTTTTGAGGTATAAGCGAAAAACTGCCAGAGACTTGAATTTTTCACCTCTTTTGGGATTTTGTCGATGTTGCGTCACGAAATTTTGTTGAAACACCTCAGACTCGGATTTAGTTCCCCAAAATGCGTATGGAATTTAAAAATCAAAACTACCCCATAACTTCCCTAATATCAAAAATACAACTACGAAATAGCTACAATGCTCAAGGTGAAATGAAATGTTGAATTAATACAAAAAGCTCAGAGCCATTTCCACACAGTGATCATGAAATTGCGCCAGTCGGGGAGTGTTTCTTTCCTTCTTTCCTGCTCAGATGGCGTTGCTTTCACATTGTCTTTAGAGGACGCCTCTGAGTGAATATAATGCCGACTTGATTTTCGTTTGGCTAGGCTAAGCTTAGTCGGCGGTCTTAGGACTGCTGGCTGGAGACTGCCCTACACTGATGAAAGTCAAAGAGCTCGAAACAGGTCTGTAGGTGTCTAGCGTGGCTTGGCTAAATCGAAATCAATAGGCAATCAGGAAAGAATCACTTGTATCAGTATTTGTAATTCAAGAACATTTAACACTGTGTTGAAATGACTTTGAGCTTTTTGTATTCATTCTAAAACACGATTCAACCGGTTTAAGGTGCTTGTTCAGCCACTTGAAGAACCTGCACAACGTGCAAGCGAGAGGGTCGAAGTGTTCGAGCTGCGATCAGAATCACAAAGATGCGATTTCTGCTCCGGTGGACTGCTCCACTTGTGGAAAAACTTTTCCCAATGCAAAAGCCCTGCGGGTGCATGAAGGGGATCCATTTTCCCCCGGAGCAGCTGCCCTGCGAACTGTGTTCCCGGACTTTCGAGTGCGAGGCTGTGCTGGCAGATCACGTGATGATGCATAGCACAGATGGTGAACTGGAGGTCGCTTGCAACTCGGGCGAGGATGGGAACAATATTTTTGTCTGAACTGGAAACTTACCCCGATTGGGTATTGAATCTGACTTGTAATCTTTGAATAAAGTGATTACTATGGGATTTGGGAAATGTTTTTTGATTCTGTATATATGTTACCGGACAAACCCGATTTTAGGATAAACTAGGCTAAACTAGTATATCCGAAGAGCGATAGGATGAACTAGTTTATCCTTGGCTGAACTGGTTTTTCCTGGAATAAATTAATATCAAGTCAAGCTGATTGATGAACAATTCAATGACAATGTTCCAGAATGATCTATTCATAGAAGTAAGTGTATATATTCCTTCCTCACCAAATATCAACAAAAAATCGATAACAAGTCTAGGACTCCGAACTTTAGATCCATTATATCAACTAGCCACCCAAAACAGTGACAAATTCAGAAAGATTCGATTCAGCATCTGGTATTATGTCATGTTTGTCTTTACCTAAATTACTTGATCAATATAACTGCCATATCCTCCAGTGGATGATGATTAAATGAAAATTTCATTTCAGGTTGATAATTGATCCCTTAACGATCAAGGAGGAACATAAAATTGACATAGAACTGCAAGAGGTACGACCTGCAACTGTTTCCAGATCGTGTGAGATTTGCGAATCCAAGTTCGATAACGAGTTAGACTACGCCTTACATACACTGATTCACTCCAAGAATGGCACCTTCAAATGTTTCTTATGTCCAGTTGAAGCAAAAATGACTGACGATAATGTAGAATACCACATAAGACTTCATCTGAAGCAACCCCTGGCTAAATGCTACTCCTGTCCGAAGATAACTTTCTATTCGATGAAACAAGTCAAAGAACATGAAAATGTTCATACTGGGGCAAAGCCATTTGGTTGTTCGTATTGCGAAGTTGCTTTCACCTTCTCCGCTAGCTTGAAAGCACATATGGAAAACACACATCGAGATATTTTCTTGGAAGAAGAAAGAAGGAAAGCTGTTGAAGAGAGATTAATGAGGCTGAGGAAACAGAATAATTTGAACAAAAAGCTAAGAAAGAAGAAGCAATGGGAGAAAGAAAGAAAAAAATTCCCACCTCCTGTGCCTAGCATGAAGCCTATAGTTTGTGAAACGTGTAAAGCAACTTTCCATAACAACGTTGATTATGCCATACATTCGATGATGCACTCTGAAGATGGGGTATTTCAGTGCTTCCTTTGTGATTCAGCAAAGAAAAGGGACCTACATGATATTGAGAAGCATATAAGGTTGCACGAAGGTACTTATATATCTGCTCCCACAGATCCAAAAGTCCATCAATGTGGAATATGTGGCAATAAATTTAAAAAGTGTATTACACTGTATAATCACATCAAGAGTCATGACACGAATAGGAAAACTTACGACTGCACAATATGTGAAAAAAAATACTTGAGGAAAATAAGCCTTCTGAGTCACAACGCCAAACATCACAACGGTCCATCCACCACCATTAACAATCTGTAGCAACAAGTTCCTACAAATCACACATGGATCTTGGATCTTCAAAATGGAGTGTACGTTATGCGATAAAACCTTTCCTAGGGATGAGCCTCGCAGAAAACACGAACGTTTGAACGTTTTCATACAGGAGAAACCCGTTTAACAAGGGCCAGTGAATCTTCAAACATCGAGGTCAAGTGACGTCACCCACAACACCTGATATTCCTTACTTCTTTATATTGAGAAACTACGAACAAGTGATTGCTCAGTGGTTAATGTATATGACTTCCACGGTGGTGACTGGGGTTCGAACCCTGCAAGGCGTAATTTTTTTTTTTAATTTTTTTCTCTCAATTAATTGATCAAAAATATACTTTTCAGGAAAAAGGTTGATTAGGGACAATTTAGGCTGAAAGTTCTTTCCTTTTTTATGCAGAAGAGATATTTTCCTACCTCATAGTATTGCCTTATAAGTCTTATAAACACGATTAACCTTCTGATAATCTTGAGGTTTGGATTCACTGTTCAGCTAGACGCTTGTGCTCGTTTACATGTCAATGTTGTGACAAGAGTTTCACACAAAGAACATCAAGAAAACTACACGAGAGACTTCACACGGGTGAAAACCTTACAAATGTGGTGGCTGTGGGAAATTCTACATTTCTTAAGGCACCAAATATCGGAAGAAGTTGTCGATAATCTAAGGGCGCATGTTGAGCGAAATCCCCAAACGTCATTGAAGAGATTATCTTTACAATCTGGTGTGCCACTATGTAAAGTGCTAAAGAAAAGTTTGCATATGTACTTTTTCAAGACCAGTGTACTACAGCAACTTCTGCCAATAGATATCCCACGTCGTCTGGAGTACTGCCAATGGTTTCAAAATAATCCTAACGATGACCAGCTATTGGACCTAACATTTTTCAGCGATGAGGCTTGGTTTCATTCGTCGGGATACGTGAACTCACAAAATTTTAGGTTTTGGAGATCTGAGAATCCCCAGAATTTCATTGAGACTCCACTACATTCTCAAAAAATTGGGGTGTGGTTAGCAGTTTCTCGTAGTCGAATATATGGACCGATTTTCTTCGATGGCACTATCAATGGTGAAAGGTACAGACAAGTGATGTTAGAACCATTCATCAATCAACTTGATGATGAAAAAATTCGAGTTGGCTATTTTCAGCAAGATGGGGCCACTGCCCACACCACACGTGCAAATTTTAAATATTTACAAGAATTTTATGACAACCGTGTGATAAGTCGAGGTGTTAATCCTTCTTTTGAAAGACGAAGTATTCAAGAGAGACAATAATAACCTTGAAGAGCTGCAATCCTCAATAACACATTGGTGGTTGGAGAACAACGGAGAACATTTTGAACATTTGATGTAGGTTAATGAAATAAACCGTTATTTATTACTTATTTAATTAATATTTTTGATTTGTTCCATTATTTTTCAAACTCCAATATTGATGGACTCTCCTTTCTTTGAGATACATTTCCATAGTGTATGCAAAACGATATAAAAAAAGATCCTGTATATGATCACTTCCTCTCTTTTTGGTCGTTAAATGTTGTTAACAGCATTAGTAGAAAGCGGCAAATGGAAAAAAATATCAACAGCCACTACGATGTTACGATCATTTATAGAAACCCTGTAGTATATGGAATCTTCAATAATAAACTCTCAAACTGAAATTGCTGTTGCGTGTGTTATGATGGATGGGAGTTGTAGTGAATTACAACTTGTGTTTATTCATCAGGCAAAAAAATTCCAAAATGAATAGTGCAATCACTGTCAATATTTTATTATTGATGAATAAAATTCTGCAAAATATCTTGTCTTGTTGTTTCTAGGATCAAAAGGCTGTATTTGATAGGAACATTTTTAATAATTTTCATCAGCAGAATTACCTTTTGAAGTATACGAAAGTTATTCTGGGACACTCTGTATGGTTGGAGCCATATCTTCCAGGTTTTTGTGTTAAGTTATCCACTCAGTATTGTTCTTTGACTGTCTCCTCTCATTTCTTGAGGTTGATGGATGATGATTAAATAAAAATACCTTTTCCGTCGACCTCGTATTAACGACTAAGTTTAATGTATATGAAATCGTTCATTAATGACCCCTATTAATGAACGATTTGTCTATTGATGCACGATTGTTCTATAGGCAACCAAACATACACCACGTGCATTCATTGTTTATGCTATAACTTACGGAATCTGCATTTAAATCGAATATATGGATTTCATCGAAGATTTTCCGTTAACGGGTTCGCCTTTCCAAGTTTCTGACACGATTTAACCCTGTTTTCTAACACAAGGAATTTATTTCCTATGTTGATCATTTCGACCAAATGTCTAATGTCACTAATGTCAGTAACAAGGCTACTGGATGATTCTTAGCAGTTTCCGGATGAATGAATTCGCGAACCAAGTTTTCTTCATTGCAGGAGAAATGAGAGACGGAAAAATGTTTTAACCAACTTGTATATTAAAAGTCCCTCATTAATACACTAGTTGGTTGAATACATGTTAAATAACTATTCATTTCAGGTTATTCATTGACCCCTTGACTATTAAGGAGGAAGATCACAAGGATATTGAACACCAAGAAGTACGACCAGTAACCGTTTCAAAATCTTGTGAAATTTGCGAAAACAAATTTGATAACGATGTGGACTACGCCTTACATACACTAAGTCACTCCAAGGATGGCACCTTCAAATGTTTCTTCTGTCCAGTTGAAGCAAAAATGACTGACGATGATGTTGAATACCATGTAAGGCTTCATCTGAACCAAACCGTGGCTAAATGCTACTCTTGTCCACAGACGACTTTCTCTTCGATGAACCATTTCAAGGAACACAAAAATATTCATACTGAGGCGGAGTCATTCGGTTGTTCCTATTGCAAAGTTGTTTTCACCTCATCGGGTAGCTTGGTGGCACATATGGAAAACACGCATCCAGATATTTCCTTGGAAGAAGAAAGAAAGAAAGCCGTTGAGGAGAAATTATTGAGGCTGAGGAAAAAAAAGAAATTGAACAAAAAGCTGAGGAAGAAAGAGCAATGGGAGGAAGAAAGAAAAACAAATAATTTCCCACCTCCTGTGCTTAGCAAGAAGCCTATAGTTTGCGAGAAGTGTAAAGCAACTTTCCATAACAACGTTGATTATGCCATACATTCAATGATCCACTCTGAAGATGGAGTGTTTCAGTGCTTCCTATGTGACTCAGCAAAGAAAAGAGACCTACATGATATTGAGAAGCATATAAGGTTGCACGAAGGAACTTATGTACCTGCTGCCACAGATCCAAAAGTCTATCAATGTGAAATATGTGGCAATAAATTCAAGAAATACACTACCCTGTATGGTCACATCAAATGCCATGACACGAAGAGGAGAACTTACGACTGCACACTATGTGACAAAAAGTACTTGAAGAAAGTGACCCTTTTAGGTCACAATGCCAAACATCACAATGGTCCACCGAGCAAGATTAACAAAGAGCGAGAATGTGAAATTTGTGGCAAGCATTTCTTACACTTGAAGAGCTACAAACTACACATGGATATCCACAATGGAGTCAAGCCGTACAAGTGTACGTTCTGTGATAAACCGTTTAATAGTGTTGATGCTCGCAGGGAACACGAACGAGTTCATACAGGAGAACGACCGTTTACATGTCGATTTTGCGACAAAAGTTTTACTCAAAGAACACCAAGGAAACTACACGAGAGACTTCACACGGGTGAAAAACCTTACAAATGCGGTGGCTGTGGGAAATGCTTTATTTCGAAGGCTGCGAAAGATTGTCATCTCAAGAAATGCGATGAACATCAAACCAAGTCTGAATAGGTTTACAATTGAATATTATTTATTTGTGTCAATAAAACTTAATTTTCCAAACTGGCTCCTTTACTATAAGTAACCAGCTGTTTCAGCTAACTGTGTCCTATAACACCGAAAAAATTGAGTCGGTGATTCCTAAAATTCAAAAACATGTGTCCTAACTTGCGTTTACTTCATTACTTTATAAAAATAACATACCAATACTTGAAAGTACCGCTAGAACACGGTCTCATCTATGGTAATAATTTCATTATTCAACTTCCATTGATTAAATCCTTGTCGTATACGAGTCTGGATTTCTCCGGCAAAAAATTAATCGAAGCCTGGTCTGAATTTTTCATGATATTCTTGAGTAAATTCGTATCAGACTATACAAAGAAAGCAGCAATGACATTCACTAAATGATGACAATGGCGATATTCAACAATCGTCAACATATCAACAAATTTCCAAATCCCGCACGAATTTTCAAATTCTGATGAAAGAATCATAAACTCCGACCCCGAAAATACCCAGATACTAATTTTGAATAGAATCGGATCATAATTACAAAACTCGTCCGATATATTAGATCCGCCATCTTGAATTTCCTAATGGTACCGACATAAAAAGTATTCTATAACCATCTCCTGGTTCTGAGTAGAGTTCCTAAATGTACTTGACACAACTCTATAGTTCTGAGCTACCTCCCCACCAATTTTCAGTCAAATCGATCCAGTAGTTTCGGAGCCAATCCAAACAATCAAATCTTTCCCTTTTATAATATAAGTATAAGTAAAGATTAGAATAGATTATAAAATTCTCATGTCATGCACGGTGTTTGTCGTCAAACTCCTCCGAAACGGTTTAACCGATTCTTATAAACATTTTTGTGCATATTTGGTAGGTCTGATAATCATCGGTCGTGAGCTATTTTTTAAATTGTTAATTCAAGATGGCGGATTCAATATGGCGGACGTGTTCAGTAGTTATGATCCGATTCTATTCAAAATCAGTATCTGGGGGTTTTTGGGGTAAGAGATTATGATTCCTTCGTCAAAATTTGAAAATTCAAGATGGCGGATCCAAAATGGCTATATAATTATGGTCCGATTCTGATCTAAATTGGTATCTGGGGGTTTTCGGTGTCGGAGATTTTGATTCTTTTGTCAGAATCAGGAAGTTCAAGATGGCGGATCCAATATGGTGAACGAGTTTTGTAATTATGATATTCGATTCGATTCAAAGTTGGTATATGGGGGTTTCAGGGTCGGAGATTATGATTATTTCGTCAAAATATCAAGATGGCGGTTCGATATGTTGGACAAGTTTTTTAATTATGATCCGATTCTATTCAAAATTTGTATCTGAGGGTTCTCAGGGTCGGACATGAGCATTATTTGATTAAAATTGGAAAATTCGAGATGGAGGATCCAATATGGCAAACGATAGCTAGATAGTCAAACTCAAAAGAAGTAGAATATAATGGGTACTTTGACAAATGAAGTAGCACCGCTGTTATGGATAGCCAAACTGAAAAGAATAAATAAAAAAAATAAGATGAATATTTGAATAAAAAAATATTTTCTAGAAATAATGTATATGGCAGAACAACGTTTGCCAGTTAACAATTTCGATTAAGCATCTAACATTATGTCATTTCTGTATCCATCTGAATCACATGATCTAATTGTCTCCGTTGATCATGAAATTGCAAATTATCCACTTAGTATCATTCTCTGACTCCGATTTATTGAAGTTCATCAATGATGATCAAATAAAAACACCTTCCATTTCAGGTTGTTCATTGACCCCTCGATGATTGAAGAAGAACATAACAATGACGTAGAATGCCAAGAGGTACTACCAGCAACTGTTTCCAGATGGTGTGAAATTTGCGAAACCAAGTTCTTTAACGACGTGAAGTATGCCTTGCACACTCTAACACACTCGAAAAATGGCATCTTCAAATGTTTCCTTTGTCCAGTTGAAGAAAAAATGACCGACGACAGAGTCGAACAACATATAAGACGCCATCTGAACCAAACCGTAGCTAAGTGCTACTTCTGTCCCGAGACGAAATTCTATTCGATGAAACATTACACTGAACACAGGAATGTTCATACTGGAATCAAACCATTCGGTTGTTCCTACTGCGAACTTGCTTTTGTTTTCTCTGTTAGCTTGAAGACACATATGGAAATCCAACATCACGATGTAATATTGGAAGAAGAAAGAAGGAAAGCCGATGAAGAGAAATCATTGAGGCTGAAAAAAGAAGAGGATATGAAGAAGGAAATAAATTATCTGGATAGGAAGAAGCGATGGGAGGAAACTAGGAGGAAAATGCCACCTCCTTTGCCCAGCAAGGATCCTATAATTTGTGAGAAGTGTAAGGCAACTTTCAATAACAAAGTCGATTATGCTGTTCATCTAATGAGGCATTCCGAAGATGGGGTGTTCGAGTGCTTCCTTTGTGACTCAGCGAAGAAAAGAAACCTGCATGATATTGAGAAGCATATAAGGTTGCACGAAGGGACTTATGTACCTGATAAAGCCTCGAAAATCTATCAATGTGGAATATGTGGCAGTAAATTTGAGAAATCTAATGCACTTCAGAATCACATGAAATGCCATGACTCGAACCGAGCAACTTACGACTGCCAGCTATGTGACAAAAAGTACTTGAAGAAAATAAGCCTCTTGAATCACAATGCTATACACCACGATGGTCCACATACTACCAGTACCACAGTACGTGATTGCGAAATCTGTGGCAAAAAACTATTATACTCCGAGACCTACAAGCTACACATGGCTCTTCATAACGGTGTGAGGCCGTACAAGTGTACTTTTTGCGATAAAGCCTTTGCAAGGAAAGCAGCTCGCAAAGAACATGAAAGGGTGCATACAGGGGAACGACCTTACACCTGTAAATTTTGCAGATTGAGTTTCAGCCATTTGACAACGAGGAAACTACACGAGAGACTCCATACGGGTGAAAAACCTTACAAATGTGATGTTTGTGGCGAAGGCTTCATTTCCAATTCTGCGAAAAATTGTCATCTCAAAAAGTGCGATAAACTTTACTCCAAGTTAAAATTAGTTGATCATCTTCCTGTATCATTGTGATAATAAAATATTCCCACTACTACCTCTATATCACACCATTTCACAGGGCATTATGAGAGAGAGAGAGAGAGAGAGAGAGAGAGACTTTATTGTCTAAGAAACAGTATTTATTATTGACATAGTATTCAAAATTTAATAAAAGTGTATAACATAATATAAACATATACAACTGAATTAATAATATAGAAAAACTAACGAAACTCATTTGGAGTGTAAAGAAACAATAAACAGTTCACATTGAAAATCGAAGTGAACAATTGTCAAAGCAGATCAATAATATATATAGTATTTGAAGTAGTACATGTTGAGGTCATAACAGAGTTTCATTGTGAAATTCCTCAATATTATAGTAGGCTCTTTTCAAAAGGGCATCTTTCACCAGTTTTCTGAATTTACCATGATCTTTTATAGTTCTTAGTTCAGTTGGTATATGGCTATAAATCTTTTTACTTTCGAATAACAAAGATGCTCAAGATGCAAGGCCAGGATAATGCTCTTCCGCAGAGCTATCGTCCTATCAGTCTCCTGTGCTCTCCATCTAAGATAAACGAGTGATTAAACAGAGGTTACAGGAATTTATCGACGACAACGAGCTTATACCAGATGAGCAGTTCGGTTTCAGGACTGGCCACTCAACTGAAGTACAAGTGTTGAGACTCATTGAGAACACAATATCGTTGAGAAAAGATAGACAAAGGACCCATCTTGCTCTCCTTGACATAGCGAAAGCATTTGACAAGGTGTGGCATGATGGTATCTTATACAAAATGATCGATATGGGCTTTCCTGACGATTTGATTCAGTTGGTGTTCATTTCTGAAAAATCGGACTTTTCAAGTAAAACTTGATGATCAACGATCTGGTATCAAGCCCATTGAAGCTGGTGTTCCTCAGGGTGCAGTTTTATCTCCGCTGTTGTACAGTTTATATACTAGCGATTTGCCAAGACCAGTGATGTGCAAGATGTCGCTTTTTGCTGATGATACGGCAGTTCTTGCATATTCGACAAATTTCGAGCAAACAGCTATGAACCTCCAAAGCGCACTGAATTCTATTCAGGAGTACTTCCTAAGATGGAAGATCAAATTGAATCCTACAAAAACACAATTGGTCGCACTCGGAAGGGAGCGGAGGCCTCCCAGAACCAGAATAGTCCTGGATGGTCATGAGTTAGAGTGGTCTTCAGAAGTTAAATACTTAGGTATGTGCATTGACAAAAAGCTCACCTAGGCCCAGCACATTGAACAGCAAGTTTCTAAAGCTAAACCAGCCATTGGAGCCCTGTATCTATTTCTAAACAGACGAAGTAAATTGGGTTCGAGACAAAAATTGAATATTTATATCATGGCTATCAGGCCAATTTTACTGTATGCCTCAGTAGTCTGGGGCCACACAGCTAAATCTCATATCACCAGATTACAAACATTACAAAACAAAATCGCGAGAATGGTGACAGAATCTCCTTGGTATGTTTGGAATAACCAGATCGCCAGGGATCTGAAACTCCCTTCAATCGTGTCAGTCATGAAAGAACGAAACATCAAGACTTTCGAAAAAGCTGAGGTTCATGAGAATCAGCTTCTTCGAAATGCAGTTGATTATGACCCAGGTGATCAATCAAAGTTCAAAAGACCGAGATTGTCCATAAACTAGAGAAAATATCGACATTATGACCAAATTTACTATTCTCAAGTTTTTGATATTTATTTATTCCGTTCGATCTCTTTCAATTCTCAGAATGTATTTCTGAAACTTATTTGGGGCAGAAGGGCTGTTCGCATCAAACTTCAATACCGTTTTTATTTTGTTCCATTTTAGATATCAGGATAAGAGGGACTCTTCCCTGGTCTGAATAAAATAAAAGAAAGATCCAATACAAAGAAAATTTTGTCAAACTGGATTTTGGAATGGGTAGAGCAATTTTCCTCTCTGTTATTTGTCGGTTCACATGATTTGTTTGTACTGTAGTCTCAGCCATATACTTTTTGTGAATCAGACATACTGTTTCCAATATGAATCAACTTGTCAGAGTGAGAATTCCTAAGTTTGAAAACAGCGGCCTGCATGACTCTCGAATACCACCTTGCCTAAGTACCTTATAGCACGTTTCTGCAGTATAAACACTGATTGAAAAAGTTGTTAGCTACAATATCCCCAGAATGCTATTCCATATCTCATAATGGAAATGAAAATAATGAATTTAAACACTTAGAAGGCTTGAGGTGTAGGTACTATATCGAATGGCACCATTGAAAAAAAATGTATTTATTTATTTATTGGATCACAAGAGTTGAAGCTGCAAGATCATAATAGTAGATTGTTTTATTAGGATCAAAAGTGACACTTTGTTTGACAAGCGAATTTTGCATTTGCGAGGCGGAGCGTTTAGCGAGATTTCAAAATTATTTGGGGCCTAAAACCATTACGAACTATGTTGTCAATTTTAGTTTCCTTTCTACTCCTACCTAGCAAGCCTGATGATGACTCCTAGGAGTCGAAACATGTAGCATATATGATTTGAGTGAAATTTACTTGGAGCGAGACTTTGAGTTTGTTCTCTCATTAATTATCAACCACATTTAATTTATAATGCGTGTCCTACGTAAATGTAATGTGCACCATTAGGACACTGGCATGAGCTTCGTATTAAGTTACCTCATTGCACTATTCATAATTCGTTTGTCCGTTCTTATAATCATCCAAATAATATACACTTTTCATTTCAGGTATTATATTGATCCTTTGACGATCAAGGAGGAATATAACATCGACATAGAGCAGGAAGAAGAAGAATCTGAAACTGAATCCAGATCGTGTGAAATTTGTGAAATGAAGTTCAACGACGTGGACTATGCCTTACATACACTAACACACTCCAAGAATGGCACCTTCAAATGTTTCCTGTGTCCAGTCGAAGCAAAAATGACTGAAGATAATATAGAATACCATATAAGACTCCATCTGAAGCAATCCGTGGCTAGATGCGCCTTTTGTCCAAAAATAAATTTCTATTCGATGAAACATTTCAGGGAACATGAAAATGTTCATACTGGAGCAAAGCCATTCAGTTGTAACTATTGCAAAGTTGCGTTCACCTTCTCCGGTAGCTTGAAGGCACACATAGAAAACACACATCAAGATGTACTCTTGGAAGAAGAAAGAAAGATAGCCAATGAAGAGAGATTATCGAGACTGAGAAAAAAAAGAAATTCAAACAAAGAAGAATATCAGCTGAGAAGGAAGAAGCAATGGGAGGAAGAAAGAAAAAAATTCCCACCCCCAGTGCCTAGTAAGGAGCCTATAGTTTGCGAGAAGTGTGAAGCAATTTTCCATAACAACGTTGATTATGCCATACACATAATGGATCACTCTGAAGATGGATTTTTCGAATGTTTCCTCTGTAGCTCTGTGACGAAAAGGACTCTGCCCAACGTAGAGAAGCACGTGAGACTTCACGAAGGCACTTGGGGATACCTCTGCAAGATTTGTGGCACCACAGTCAAAAGTTTGAATTTGCTAAAAGTTCACATCAAAAGCCACCAAAAGACTTATAACTGCACCGAATGCGAAAAAAAGTACTTGATGGAGTATAATTTGGTGATACACAAAGCTAAACATCACGCCAGTGTGAAATCCCGAGGAAGACCTTACAAGTGCAAGTTTTGCGACAAATGTTTCAAACAAAGGGTTTCAAAAACGTCACATGAACGTCGTTTGCACAGTGGAGATGAGCCCTACAAGTGTGGTGGCTGTAAAGAATGCTTCAGTTCCAAGGCTGAGAAGGATGCCCACGTCAATGAATGTGAAGGCTTTTGACCTACAGCTATAATACCCTGACCTAACTAGACCATTGTACAGTTTGCTATAAGTGTTCACTTTCCATAATGAAGGCATCTAGCGCAGGCCAAGAAGATCTTGTTGTTTTCAATCAGGCTGCGACATGTTGGAGCTGTGATAAGATACCAGAAGCCACGATACTAGCGAAAAAAAAAAATTTCAGGAAAGATTGTATTTCTTTGCTATTCACTGACAGCGAGAATCAATTCACAATTCAACATTCAACGTCTCTTAGATATTGTTCAACACCTCTTCAGTTGCAAAATCTCTCAATATTTCACTGACAATCGCGAGAAGCTGATGAAATGAACAACTCGAACCATATACTAGTATCAAAGCTCCAACATAAATGCATTGAGGAAGGACAATTCTTGCTTCTCCAACACTTTCTGGGAGAGACCTTATGTAAATATCAATGAAATATTCTTGTAATATAATGTTATTATGTGATTCAAGAAAAACATTACTCAATCCGAAGCAACATCCCCAAACCCTGTCCTTCTCCAAAGTATTCTGAACTATTTTGCGCAATGTATTTTGCATTCCCTAGCTGATAACTGCAAATAAATGTTAGGTACATATTGTAAGATTGTGAAAGGGTGTGTGTGAGTGTGCGGAGAAGCTGTGTATTGATAAGTTCGTACTTTTATATATTGATTACACTGAGGCACCGAACAACACATCTTGCATCTGATGTTCATTATTACAAACTAAATAAGTCTTCTAACACAATAAACTTCACCAAATTCCTTTCTGTTCGTTAGCAGCGTGATGTAAGCGTGACACGCTGCAAACGCGAATGCCAATTGCGAACAAGAAGAACAAAATCGAAAACAAATTCATCGTATTGTGACGTAAGCATGAGACGTTGTGGTGGGGCAAACAAAGAAAGGGCACAAAAGAACAAAAACAATACTTTCAATATCCTTCCAAGGCCTCTTTGGGAAGTGCATATTACGCCTCAAAAAAACATCCTCATGTCTACATTTCTAAAACATCCCAAAACATCCCAGGGATACCTCTCAGTAGGCAAACAAAGAAATGCCACAGAAGAACAAAAACAATACTACAATATCCTTCAAAGACCTCTTTGGTCAGTGCATATTACGTCTCAAAATAACATCTTCATGCCAACATTTTCAAAACATCCCAGGGATGTTTGTGCTCGCTGGGATCAGCCTGTAGTAATGAAGTTTCAATTATTATCTTTATATTGAATTATAAGCATAGATACTCTTAAGTTACGAAGATCAATAACAAATGGTATGCATGAAAATAGATGTAGGCCTTTTTTTTCAATAAAATTAATTTTCAATCATTCAGGGTAGTCTAACGAAAACTTCACACCCCTATCTTAGGGCCTTGAAATAAAAATCAGAAAAAATGCTCGGACTCATCGAATTATGATCCGAGGGGGGACGACTTGTCTTGTCCATCCCCGTAACTTCAACCCCCTACCAGGGGAAACACAAACCCTCGATTTTGAATATGGATGAGGACTGTTGCGACACCTCATTTTGAATATTTCATTGGGTACTATATCTGAACATATAATGTTGGGTCAAAATATTCATGGATAACGAAATGAGAGATGAAATAGTTGAAAAGGCAATATCGAATTTACTTCGAAAATATCAATCTTTTTAGACTAGGATTCGACAAGTATTCATTCATTTTTTCCCACACTTCTGAATCTCCTAAACCTCATGCCAGATTATGTCATCCTTTTGAATCAAACTGAAAATGTATTTATATTTGTTCATGATTCAAAATCAATTCAAAGTATCATGTTCCTAACTCATAGGTGAAGTGATACTTCCTAGCACCTAGTGCAACGAGAGTAGCTTCTGAGAAAGTATCACTCCTAGCACTTGATAGGAATCTAAGTAAACCAATTCATACAAGGTACTAAAAATCGGTTCAATTCCCTGAGCTACACCCGAATATATTCTGAACTGTGTGCGTTTTAGGTCAGTCCCAGAGATCAAAGAAGAAGTCGACTCAGACTACGAGGTGAAACCGCGCAAACCCAAGACCTCAAAAACCTCGAAAAAGTCCAAAAACCCCAAGCGTAAAAAACCCGACATCGTCCACCCACCTCCAGTCGAACTAGACGAACCCATCCAGTGCGACGTTTGCAGCGAAACCTACAAGAACAACGTCGCCTTCTCCTTGCATTCCATGAGCCACAGCGAAGACGGCAAGTACTCCTGCCACATCTGTCACTTTCGCAACGCCTCCAAGTACCACATAGAGATGCACGTGCGTGCCCACGAGGGAACCACCAGCTACAAGTGCGAGGTATGCAACAAGGCCTTCACCGTCAGCACCCACGCCATCGAGCACAAGTACTTCCACACCGGAGAGAAACCCTTTCAGTGCGAGATCTGCGGCAAACACTTCATGTTCTCCAGATTCCTGGCTTCCCACAGGCGTACCCAGCACTGGGAGATCATCACCGGTACTCCCCTCATCAAGTACGACTGCACATTGTGCAGCAAGCACTACACGTCTTCCAGCGGTCTCAAGAGACACAACCTGAGGAACCACAACACCGAAGGCATAGACACCTCGGTGCTCTGTGATGTGTGTGGAAAAAAGATCTCTAGTAACGAAAAGCTCAAGTTCCATAGGAGGGTGCACACTGGGTACCGACCGCATGGTTGTGAAGTCTGTGGGAAGAGTTTCTCCACGAAGGAACAGAAGAAGGAGCATCTGAGAATCCACACCGGAGAAAAACCGTACGTCTGCAAGTATTGTGGTCGGGGGTTCACTCAGAGATCGCCTCTCAAGATCCACGTGAGGTCTCACACCGGGGAGGTTCCTTATGTTTGCATATTATGCACGAAAGGGTTTATATCCAAGAGTGCTCTGGATAATCATAGGAAGCATTGCAAGTTGCACATGGTCTAGCTGGTTTGATTCACAAGGTTACTTTCGAGTCAATAGTCGAGATATTGAGACCTGAATATATTATTTTATTCCAGTGATTTTCTCACTTTAGCCCAGTATTTTCATAAGTTAGTTGGCAGAGAGGTAATATTCGCTTCAATTTAATATTAGGTTCTGTCAGAAACATTCGATAATGCCTTATTGTGAACTAGGTATACCCACCCAAAGAAAGGAGATTTCAAAGAGTGAGTAAAGTTTTTGGATCTGGAGTCTTCCATCCAACCACTGCCCACATTTCAGAATTTCCTTACACTGGTGAAATTGATTCACAAGGATACTTCTGAGTCATTAGTCAAGATCTTTAGAACTTCATGTAGAAGTGTCAGATATATTATTTCATTCCAGTGACTGTCCACTTCAGCCCAGTATTTTTGTAAGTTAGTTGGCAGAGAGGTAATATTCGCTTCAAGTTAATATTAGGTTATGTTAGAAACATGCCCTATTGTGATCTAGGTCCCACCCAAAGGAAGGAAATTCCAAAGAGTTGTAGGATTCGGAATTAAGGTCTCCCATCCAACTACTTCCCACATTTCAGAAATCCCTTCTACTGTTGGAATTGAGAAATATTTTTTCTCTTAATCAAATTGTCCAAGACGACGACATCTTCAGTTCTGTTGTTTATTTTCCCGAGATATTAGATGTATATTTTTAATCCATATTCCTTATTGAATAAAAATGTTGAACTAAATCCCAGTCTTTTATATTCAACGCGAGAAGAAGAAACAAGACCAACAGTGAGTATTTCACAAATATGTATGTGAACTCATGCTAATCAAAGCTTTCTTGCTAACCCTCTTCGATTTTCAGATGCAAAACACGCAAGCTGAAAGCCAAGGTGAAACGTAACAAACCCAAATACAAGCGAACCTCAGAGGAGCACCCCCCACCCCTCAAACTTGAACAACCAATCCAGTGCGCCGAATGCGAGCAGAACTTCTCGAGCAACGTGGGCTTCGCCCTCCATTCAAAAACACATGACAAAGAAGGCAAATACAACTGCCATCTGTGCATCAACTTCCGCAACGCTTCAAAGTACCAAATAGAAATGCACGTGCGAGCACACGAGGGTACCACCAAGTACAAGTGCGAAATCTGTAACCAGGGATTCACAATCAGCACTCACGCCATAGAACACAAGTACTTCCATACGGGAGAAAAACCCTTTCAGTGCGAGATCTGCGGAAAACACTTCATGTACTCGTGGTTCCTATCCAGACACAGAAAGTCCACTCACTATGAGATACTAACCGGAAGTCCTCTTGTGAAGTACGACTGCAACATTTGCAGCAAGCACTACGCCACCGCATCTAGCTTGAGCAGACACAAGCTCAGTAAACACAAGAAGATCGACGGCTCGGTGCTCTGTGACATCTGCGGCAAAAGACTCTCCAGCAAAGAGAAACTGAAATTCCACCTGAGGACCCACACCGGGTACAAGCCCCACTCCTGTCACATGTGTCCCAAGAGCTTCTCCAAGAAAGACCAGCTGGTAGAGCACGTGAGAGTGCACACGGGGGAAAAACCCTACGTTTGTAAATACTGTGGGCGTGGCTTCACCCAGCGCACTCCACTCAAAACTCACGAGAAGACACACCTCCGTGAAGACTCCGCCCCCTGTTCCATCTGTGGCCACGCCTCTGGCTGTCCGCACCTTCCCACCAAACATTCGTTCCGCAAATGCATCGCCCCCTGTGATAAAGACGAACCACCTGCGTGTCCCGTGTGTGGGTCTGTGGCCCCCTGTGAGCATCTGATGAAGATGAGCATGATGACTCCGTCTAGGGAGGAGACGTCGAGTTGTGGGGTGTGCGGTGCTTTGGGGGCGTGTCCGCACATGCAGGGCGGGGTTTCGAAGACGCCCTCTATGGGGGGAGTGGCTTGCGGTATTTGCGGTCAATTAGGGGCGTGTGTGCATTTGCAGAGTTTTCTGTCCATGGGGTTTCCGTATCCTTCGTAAATATAGACTGGGTTAGCGTCAGTAGGCGGCTTATTACGTACTTCTTGTTTCTGTTAGTCAGATATACAGAGTGATTCATTGAAAATGGTCAATCTCTGAACTACAGATTATAATCACTAGAAAATTGAGATTTAGCCTGACATGCCTGTTGAGAATGTTGCTGGTTCAGGAGATACAGAGTGTTCTTTGGGTGTTTACTATCTGCAGTTCAGAGATTTCCCATTCTCAATGAATCGCCCTGTATGCATGTATTTTTGTGTAGAGCAGGACGCATTATCATTCCTGAAGTTTCTCTGGATTTTGGCTCTCTATATCTTCAATTCTGGAATCCATGATTGAGATGCATATATACTTTTATAATTTTGGCATTCAGTACCTTCAGTCTCTAGTGTAGGTACTTTTAGTTCAGAAGACTTTTTTGCATTGTGAATATGTATGATCACGTTACGAAGTATGAATATATATTCACACGTTAAGTACCATCCTCTACAAAAGAATTTTTTGTAAAAAACAAGGGAAACAGCCTAACAGAGGATTTTTTTTCTTCTTGTATCTAAAGATACGTTTTCACTATCAGAGAAAATGAGCAGCAAGGACAGTATATATTTTAATTAGAACACCCTATATATACGGTATGATGCAAATGTATGGAATAAATTCATTATTTCAGAAATGGGGACATTTGAAAAAATTCCAAAAACACGTGAGTTTTAATTTCTAAAGCCTCATCTCATGATATTCATATGAGAGATGTTACGTCACCGGTGTTGGAGTAAA